CCTAATTGATGTCTGGAGCCAGTTTATGTCAGGAAGGTAAACTTGGGGGCACAAAGTTAATGCTGAATCGAGTTTCCAAAAAAAAAAGTTCTTTAAATTTATAATTCAATGGAGATCTTTTCTGGAAGCAAAATTGAATTATTTTTTTTCTTAAAGTACAGAGTCTGGGTTTGTAGCTCATCCCATAGAGTGCTTGCCCAGAAAGGGCAAGGACCTGGAATAGAGTACCAGTAGTACATAAAATTGGATGTGGTGGCATACCTATATCCACAGGTAGAGACAGAACGATCAGAAGTTCAAGGTCATCCTTGGTTACATAGTGAGGTGGAAGACAACCTCACGTAATGAGGCCTTGTTGAAAAAAAAACAAAGAAGGTAGGGAGGGAGGGAGGGAGGGAGGGAGGGAGGGAGGGAGAAAGGAAGGAAGAATAAGAAAGAAAGAAAGAAAGAAAGAAAGGAAGGAAGGAAGGAAGGTAAGTTTAAGACTAGGACCTGTGGGTACTGTCCTTGACTTTGCTAGAGAGACAAGGATGGGATATCCTGCCATTCCAGTCCACCAGTGTCTTCCAAACAGGGCAGAACAGGGAAAGGAGGCCCCTGGACACTGAAGGTCCTGTGTGTGAAGTCTAGATGTGCGTGATGAACAGGCCAGAGGGATGAGCCATCCCACTCACACACGGCGTGAGGATAGGAATGAACTAAGATGGGAAGGCAGAGAAGCCTCAAAGTCCACCCCCAGTGACCTACGTCCTCCAGTAAGGTTAAACCTTCTAAGACTCCTCACACGGGGCCACCAACTGAGGATCAGGCACTCAAACGCCCAAGCCTGTAGGGAACCTTTTCACTCAAACACCACAGGGGTGGGGGTCGCAGAGGGAAGTAAATGCCCTTTGTTATGAAGATGGTTGAGGGAGCTACAAAGAGAGAAGAACTTGGAATAAGGTCTTGTGGTCCTTAAGGCTGATAAGCCTTTGTTAAATGAATACGTCCATCTGTAGACACTCATCAAGACGGCCCAGCTAACCCAGCCAGGCAGAGAAGATGGAGTGTACCGAAGAGAATGGCAATAGATAGCAATGGTGCTGTCACTCCCCAGACTGTAAGGTTAAATCCACTTATATTACCTTGACTAAGAGCCCAATGCTATAATTTTATTAGTGATAAACATTAATTCTTTTTTTTCATATTTATTTCCTAAGGGGGACTGCATATGCCTGGAACACAATGGAAACCCGATGTAAAAACAGTTCAGTGCTACTTCTGGATACTTTAGTTTGTTTTAGGTTTGTTTGTTTGTGTTTGTTTGTTTGAAATAGGGTCTCACTGTATAACCCAGGCTGATCTCAAACTTAGCCTTCTCTTGCCTACCTCCCCACCGCTGGACTTAGAGGCATGGCCCATCCATCAAACTCTGTAAAATTTTATGTTTAAAGTCACTTGTTCATTTTTTTAAAAAAGTCCTGCACTTTCACAGGACATGGCATCATTGACCACAGTATTGTAGAGCTGATGTTTTGGAATCTTCACACTTGTTTCCAACTCCAGGAATTCTGAATCCTGATAGCACTAGTCTGTCTTGCCCTAAAGAGTGCTCAATCCTGACTGATGCGGGGTGCGAAGTTCACAAAGCAGGAAGTGGGTATCCTGGTGCCCTTATCTGTGTAAGGAGACAAAGAGTCCACAATGAGATTTCTAAATACAAAGGGCAGTAAACATACCCCATGATTCAGACGCATCCCTAGCATCCCTAGCGGGACCACTTGACACCACACACGCTCTAGCTACCTAGAGCCAGCCACCAGCAGGACCCTGGCAACCATTCCCTGCCTGCCTCCCACTTCTCCCCCTACCCTGCCGCGTCTCTTCCTAGCACCGCAGCCAAGCGACTAATACACGGCCTCATGATCCTCCTCGGCTCAAACATTTATGCCCATTCTAGACATTTCAAACAGGGAAAGCATTATGGGATTTGGTTACAAAGACTCCTGATTGCTAGAACAAAAGCCTTGTGGCAAAAGCTGCCAGGAGCCTGGCTTGAAGAAGGGAGGTGGGGGGGGGGGTCTTTTTTTTTCTCCTGCAAACAGCCTCCTGCCAGTATTTGGCAGAAATTGTCTGCTCTCAGGCTAAGGAGTCTGGGAAGTGTAGTTTTCAGGCCCCTGTCGCCAGCGTCTGAGGGAGGGAGGGGGGCAGAATAGAGGCTAGCTTGTGAAAGTGACATTGACTGAACAGAGGCCCAGCTTCAGCAGCGTGTCACAGTAATCCAAGCTCTTACCACAGCTTCTGAGATGCGCTCCCGCCACCCAACACACAACCACACATACCTCACACACTAGTGCACATTCGCACACCACAGAGGCCCGCGCCTTCTCTTCTGTCCCGCCCCCATCCGCCCCACACTAAGCCCCTCTCCTTCCTGTAAGTCTAGCGTGGTTGTTTCCTCTGTGAGTTCTACTCTTACCCCAGGCATCTGTGGGGCTCACTACAGCTACAGTTCCACTAGCCCTTTACTGAAGCCACTTTTCTAGGTCACTCGTCCACACCACGTCCAGCTCTCAGTCCCTTGCGGCACTTTATTTTAGTGTAGATTTATCCCCTTCTAACATGCATATAGCTGTATTGTATAAATGCATATTTCTCTGTAGCGTATTTTATATAGCTATAGCATATATGAGTGTTACACACACACACACACACACACACACATATATATATATATATATATATATATATATATTCATCTATACTCTTTTACCAAAATATAAGATCCAGAGGAAACAGGATTTTGTCCTTTTGCCTACTTCTAAATCCTTGATGCTCAGTGGGTATTTGGTTTGTTTTGGTTTGGTTTCTTTTCAAAGAAGAAAATTTGTTCTTGAGTCATGGTTCCAAAAGTATATAGTGATCACCAGCAGTAAGGTTTTATGTATTTAATACCTTATTAAGAGGTCAGATGTTGTTTCCATCACAATAATAAATATCTACCTACTGAATTAACACAATTAGTGTAGTCATTTATTAGACATATTTATTGTGTGATTATTTAAAAAGCTAGCCACTCTTAAGAGCATTCAGGACAGGTGATGGAATGACAACTGTGTGTGTGTGTGTGTGTGTGTGTGTGTGTGTGTGTGTGTGTGTAAGAAAGACAAGCCAACATTATCACATCTTCTCCTTTGGGTAGCCTCCCTAAACCTATCAGGGATAGATAGATAAAGATACCTCAGAGGTAAAACATGTGCTTAGCATATATCAGACATTGGATGCAATCCCAGCACAAACAGAAAGAACAACCGACTAAGGCTAGCTAACAATGTATCCTTCTTTTTCTCCAAATATATTAATCCCATTCCATATTAGCCCATCTTAGTAAAGCCACACTACGCTTCAACTACCTGTTGCATGCTGATTCCACTTAAACTGTAAGACCCACAAGATACCAAAGCTCTGGCATCTTTGGGTTACATAAAGTCTCAAGCCCTTGTGTGTGTGTGTGTGTGTGTGTGTGTGTGTGTGTGTATGTGTGTGTATGTGTGTGTGTGTGTATGTGTGTGTGTGTGTGTGTGTGTGTGTGTGTGTGGTGGGAAGGGTACTCAAACCATGCCTGTGACAGAATGCTCCCATCTAAGAGTTAAGTACTTACGGTCTCTTGACATCACCCCTCCTTCTGCTCTGCTCTGCTGAGAAGACAGAGAAAGGTGCACACACGGAGGCAGGGAGCGGTCACACACAGTCCCAAAGGTGTCACGTAAGCAACGAGAAAGCAGACAAGAGCACCATGGCTTCAAAGAGTGTGTTTGCATCTTTTTATTAGAAGTATCCATATTACCCACACGCAAAAAGTATCCATATTACCCACACGCAACCCACTGTCGATTTAACAGCGTTGAAGAGAATAACAAACCTTGAAGAATTACTAAGCTATAAAGTCAGAACCATTATGGGAGACAAGCAGCACTAGATAACGGATTTCTGTGGCATCCTCACAGAGTGTGGAGAGTGGATGCTCAAGCTACAAAAGTTCATCAACAAACGTGGTTTTAAAACTTAATAATTGTCTTTAAAAGGGAAGAGTCGCCCTTCACATGCACATTAGTGGGCTGTAAGACACAATGTCTATCAGCCCTCTCGGTTTTTCTCTTTGAGTTTCCTTAGATCAGCGCGGAACACCTGCTGTCCTTCCTAAAGACAAGCTGGCTAGATCGGAGTCCTAAAATAGACCCGTGTTTTTGGTAATTTAGTGAGGAGCTGGCAGAATTCTTATCACAAATACGTGCTTGAGCACCAAATTTATCATAAATAGGTTTGGTGTAGCTTTATAACCTCACCAGTTAAAGGCACACAGAAAGATCGTAGACCATCCTCATCTGAACAGGAGTGAGCTCTCTCTGCCTGCCTAGCTAGTGCAGGAGCAGCTGCAAGAGGGCCTCCTCATCTCACCTGTCTCTGGAATGAACATACTGTTTTACTTGCAGAGCCCTGCCAGGACCCCTGGTGTTGGCTGTATCTTCCCCCTTCTGCTTCATTAGAATTCAATTTGACCAATAACAATTTCAGATGCATGACAAGCAACAGGAATTTGGTTCATTGGAAATCCACTTCTTTATTCCTTTCTCACCACATAATTTTGCAAAATAGCCCTCAGCCCAGAAAATGACTTCAACCTACTGCCTGAAGTGTACATTTATTTATTTGTTCACTGATGCAGGGGGAAGACTGAGCTAAATCAAGTGAGATGCGTGCACGTGTTCCTGAAAGGATAATTTTAGAACCCGTTTCAAAGCCGATTCTAATTCAAAAATGCCCCCGTTACTTAGACCCATGTAGAGATGTTACCCGCTTTACAAAATGCCATCAAATAATTTGAGATTTGCTAGTGTTAGGAGCGAGCGCAGCTGCAATAGCTCCTTTTCTGAGAGAAGCAGGAGAAAGGGGGATGGTTTATTAGGAGAGCACACGGGAGCGGGTGTAATAAAAGGGGATGTGAGAACCAGGGCTACCGGCTACGGGCTGCAAATTCGGCATGGTTGCAGGCCATTCTCGTTGCAGGCAGGGCACCGGAGGGCTCGATAGGACTCCTTGAATCTGTTAGCCAGCATTGAGAACTTGCTGCCGTGGCACAGAGAACAGGTGGCGATGCCGGACCCCTGGCAGTGGAGACAGTTGTCCTCAGGGACCAACCCAGCCTGCAAGGGACAAGTCAGGCTTCAGTTAGATCAGCGATTCAAGTCCACCCTTTTCACAGAAATCAAAACAGTGCTAGGCCTTGGCAAAGACTGGAGCAGAACTGTAGAAAATGTTTCTCATAAGCGCTCCTGGGGAAACGGCCAGGACACAGAACAGCAATTGGATCAGAGAGGATTTCTCAGCTGAACATCAGGACCGCGATATCTTCTGCCGCTGCATCCGCCATTCTTCAACTTTCTGCTCTTGATCACCCTTGTTCCCGTCTGATGGAAGCTCAATAAAGGCCAGACGTGACTTTTCCCTCTGCCCGACAGAGGAACAAGCCCATGTGACAAACCTTAGTGGGTGCTCAAAGAAACCAGGAGCTTCCTTCCCTAAGGGTTTCCCCGTGTCTCGTGCATGGCACCCCCACAACAGCCCAGGGCGTACCTTCACCCAGGGCGGTAGGGAAATGCCATACTGAGCAGACCCGGTAATGTCAGACACATAGCCTGGAAGAAGAGGAGGTAGATTTTGATCCCTTGGGACTGAGCACCAGACTCCATGCCCCTCTGACTGTTCATACAACCATTCATTGTGGCCCTCCAATACCAGGCGCTCAGGAAGGGATGTTTTCTCACTGGGAGGCTGGGTGAGTAAATGGATTAGATCTGAGCTCTTCTACTATTTTATTCTCTTTGAGAACTGGGTAAGGCCTAGTGATTAAAGCCCCAGTCTTCGCGGCGCGGGCAAAGGCTCAGGAAGTTCCACTCCCACGGGAGACCTTACTGGCAACTGTTGACTACTGGCCAAGGAAGACTCAGTTTTCTCCAGGGGTTCCACCCTGGAGTGGCAACCTGTGTTCGGGTAGACGGGCCTACACCTGTGCACTCATAGGTAGCACTAAGTCGACTCAGGGTTTTTTCTTTAAGAGAAAAAGATTATGAAGTAGGGAGGGAAAGTTGCAAGGGGGGGTGCGTGTTGAAGGGAAGGGAATGGGAAGTGGATTAGATCAAAACCGTGTATGGATACATAGTGAGAGCCTGTGTCAAATGAAAAAAGATTATATGTGTATGAAATTCTCCATAAAAACACGAGCTCGGGGCTGTGGAGCCAATGGACTAGAACGGAAGCTGATGTCTGATAAGGGCAGCACAGCGGGACCTTCGCTCAGCCTCTCCTACTCTGTCTCACTACTGAGAAAACAGGCAGGACAGGCAGGAAATGCCCCCCCCCCCAGTCCTGGAATATTAAGTGAGACAGCACGTGCAATCACAGGCTCCTCTCCTCTTCCATATCCAAAGCTCCCCGTAAAAGTCAGTTTCCTTCTCAGCCCACAGTCTCCTATCAACAGAAAACGCCCCTCGGCTATGTCTTGAGCCAAGACGTTTGAGACATCTCACAGAAATGAGCTATTTCACACTCTTTATAAACAGAATCTCCCCAGGAGCGGGCTACAAACCAGACCACCGCCGGGTGAATTTACTACGGAGCCCCGTCCAGTTCAGCTTCTGAACGGCCTTTCACACCCATCTCAGGTTCTCCCACTCCCAGGTTCCGAGCCCAGGTGCACCAACTCTGGTACAACACCCATTCTTGTGAGAAGCTTTCTCTGCTCAAGCCAGTCCGGTTGAATTGCCTATCATCCTGGCCATCTCAGGGAACACAACTTGGAAAACCCTTTCAACAGATAATTGCCCTCCTTCTAAAACCACATAATTCAGGAAGAGTGATCAATTTTTTTTTTTTAAATCTAAACATCTCCCCTTTCTGGGAGCCTCAGGCTCTTGTCCATAGATGTGTCTACACAGCCCTGCCCACTCCCACCTGTTTCCAAATGTCAGCTGCTCAGTTCTTTCCAGATAGACTTATCCACCCATTCTTCCTTTCAGGAGCCCCACACAGGGCTACCCCCAACCAGCAAGTCTCCCATTCCACTGACCCTTCCTGAGTTGATGACAGGAACCTTACAGTGGCTTCATCAGCACTTCCCAGACATCCAGAGTCACATTTAGATAATAACATTATTATCATTATTATTATTAAAGTAGTGCCTGGCACAGTATTTGTTCACATGCTGATCTACCCCTACACAACAATAAGCAGGTCTGAGAAACTCTCTTCTTTTTTTTCTTTTTTTTCCTTTCATTGGAAATAGATTCTTTTCTCTTACAATCTATTCTGATACAGTTTTCTCTCCCTCTGCTCCTCCCAGTTCCTCCCCCTCCCTTCTGGATCCACCCCCTTTCTGTCTCTCATTAGAAAAGAACAGGCTTCTAGGTGATCACAACCAAACATGACAACATAAAACACAAGACAAAGCAAAAACTATCACGTGGAGTCTGGACAAGGCTGAATGAAAAGGAAAGAGCCCTAAGGGCAAGCACAAGAATCAGAGGAATCCTCTCCTTAAAATTCTTCTCAAAATATTTAGCACCAGGGATAAAATATAGCTGCATAGCATAGTTTAGAATCAAGACCCAAACAGATCCTCCCAATGCACTTTCTCCTCTGGTCACTCTTTTGTCACTCTGTGACCAGGAAAAGGGTGCTTCTGTTGCTCCCCTCTGTTGCCAGCTTGCACAGCTCTGCAGACAATGACCAGCACAAAGCCAGAGTCTGCAGTGTTTGTGCTCATAACGTTGGTATGAACCTAATTGGACTGCTGTCTCTAGTGACCTCTAGTGAGTTACTTGACCTCTCTGAGTCTCAGCTTCCCTAGTGGAAGAGAAGACTGTTGGTAATACATGCTCCAGGGGGTCTTCATGAGAAGGAAATGAACTATTGCACAGACAAATACTGAGAATGGTAGCTGTCTCTCGTGGGCCTTCAGAAATCAGTAGCTATTACTGTTGTTATTATCTTAGCTTTCTACCTCAAAGATGAGATAGCCTCATGGTGCATTAAAGTGCCCAGAGGTTTACAGAGACAGTCTCACCAAGCACGGAGCCAGAATCCTCCCCTTGCAAATGTCTCTGGGGCTTGATTCCTTTATTCTTCTCCTTTGCTTTAGAGCTGATAGAGGTTCAAGGTGGCCCGGCTTTCTGCCTTGCTCTACTGTTTCATCGGGCTCTCTCTTCCCAGTTACAAACAGCAGAGCAAAGTGCCCCTTAGCCAGAAGGGTTTCCTTGATGTTCTTTGACCCTTTCTTTTAGAATAAAACTTGTTTGGGCATTCATTGCACAAGGGATCGCACAAACAAATAGTAATGTCAACCAGAGTTTAAGGAACAGACAAGGGAAGTGTAACCTTTCCCGGCAACCTTCTGCCACACAACTCTGCCCCTGTTTACAGCACTACAGAAGAAAACAGATCTGGATTCCTTGAAACTGAATTGAAAGGTGATTGTCACCTGGAACCTGCCGCCATTGCCTTTTCTTTCAGGGCTATGGAGTGATCTGCACCTGCCTATTTCTTACTGTGTGGGGGGAGACGGGGGAGTGTCCCCCCCCCAAGTTACAATATAATAAGAGAAATAATGGAACTAAAGATTTATACAGAAGAAAGGTGATGTTTACAATGTCCAGGCTGTCCTTCGCTGCCATGCTGGGTTCTACAGACTTTTTGTAGAAGACAAGAGAAGCAACAGTGGCGTGTTTCTTACCAACTGATGCTTGGTTCCAAATTCCATTATGTTTCCCACCACAGACAATACTGACTGAGCATCAATTATGTGCCAGGTTTTGTTTATCTGTTGTTGTTATTTTTTTTTTTGAACCTGGGAACTACAATATTGCATCCACCATGAACACAGCTTCTGCCTTTGTGGAGATCAAATCCTGGTAGGTATAAGCAAATCTTAACCACAGAATCACAAACAAGAAAGTAAAGTTGAAGAGGTGTGCCAAGTCCTGATAGGTTGATTCTGGGTGTGTCATCCTCATGGGAGCCATCGAGAGCCCTCAGGGATGCAACCTCCACTGAGATATCAGGAGCTAAAGGCAAGAGAACAGAGACCTGGGGACCACTGCTTGAGGAAAAGATCTGCCTCTGGCAAGAGAGTGGAAAGAACCTATGAGAAATGGACTGATGGACAGACGGGCAGTGGAGGGAGGAGAGGGAGCAAGGGCACAAGAGATGTGCATCAGATAAAACCAGAGACACTAACACTAGCCAGGCAACCCTGGACTTTCTAAAACACATAAAGAGATTTGGTCTTATCCCAAGCAATGGAACATCATTGAAAGCTCTGAGGAGTAGAAGGGCTAGGGAGGGAGTGGCAGAAACAAAGGTTCTCATTTCAAAAGTGCCACATTGGGTGTGAAATCAGTTCAAAGGGTGGATGTGAGCCAAATTTCAGGAACCTTTTTTTTTTTTTGAAGTCCAAGAAAGAGGCCTATATTCTGGTGGAGTCGATGGGCCGGGAGAGAAAGAGAGAAGAGAGATTTTTAAGAGGGAAGGTGGAGATCTAGGTTGTCATGTAAGATCGAGAAATGAGAGTAGAAATACTCGGCACCTTGGCCTAAAGTCATCACTCAGAGATGGCTATGACTTCCTCATTCTCTTCACCTCAGCCCTCTCAGCGCAGGGACATCATTCAGGTCCCCAAAGCCCTTCTTTCATTTTCCGGGCCACCTCATGGGATATTAGAGTGAGTTCCACAGAAACAAACTTGCATACAAGGGACCCTGGAGTGTGGCGGTCAGTGCTGACAGCAACATACGGCTCCATTGTTCACTTTCAATAGACTACAAAAATTCAGTGTGTTGCGGTTCACAGGTGCTTGGGCTTGTGGGTTTACAAATGGATCCGGTTTCAAGTCACCCAAACCTTCAAACTGACTCAAGACTTTACAGTATCTTCACTGATTGCGGACTGAGTTGTAGACCAATAACAGAGGCACGAGTGAACCCATAACAAAGGGAAGGGCAGAACTGGGGCTGGGGATGTCGGTCGGTTGGTAGAGTGCTTGCCTAGCATGCAGGAAGCCCTGGGTTTAATGCCCAGAACCATGTGAGCCTAGTGTAGCAGCACATCTACCTATGGTATCAGCACTCCAGAGGTAGAGGCAGAAGGATCAAAAGTTCAAAATCATCCTCAGTTATGTTAAGAGTTTGAGGACAGCTTGAGTTATAGACTCTGTCTCAGAAAAATCAATAAATAAAATAGAACAGAGCTGATTTGTCCCCAACTCTAAAACCCAGGGTTCATAAGCCACAACTCATAAGAAAAGCAATGGATTCCTAATCAGATGCGAAAAGAAGTCATCCAAAAAATTAAAGATTATAAATATTTAAAATGTGAATGTCTAGTCATTAATATAATATTATATTATATATAATAAAATAAGTGTGAATTTATATTAGCAATATGCCATTATAAGCCAATAGGTGTTAAAATTCCCTCACACTTTAGCAAATATTAAGTGTTGTTATTCAAAAATGTTTCAGGAGGTATTGCAGGAGCGGAACAATGGGCAGGCCACTGCTGCAGGGCCAGCCTGGGGGGAAATAATGGTGCTGACACACCTGTGTGTGCTGATTATGGAGAAATGTGCCTTCCGTCTCCGGCAGGGGACTGTCGTTTTCTCCTGTGCTCATCAGAGCCTCCTCCTCAGCAACTGCTTCCTTCTGGAGGATTCTCCTCATGAAGTCCCTTTTGTCCATCGGGGTCCGGATGATTTTCAGGTTGTTCGTGTAGATGATTATCTTCCCAAAATCTATAATCGGTGGAGGCTAGAGAAACAGAGAGTGGGCATCAGCCATCACCAAATTCAGGGTGGCAGAAGCTGCCCAATGCCCTTCCCAACAGGACAGAAGAGTTTTGCACCCACCCAAACTCTGACTCATCCCACTCCAAGGCTTCTTTCCAAGGTTTGTTTATTCTTTCTAAAAGTACGAAGAGTCCCTTTCCTTCTTGCTGAGGATGGGAACCAAGGAAGCTGGACCACTCAGAGGGCAGGACTGTAGAGAACAGGGTCCAGAGCATCTGTTCCCACTGTCCCCCAGGAAAGCCAGTGCAGAGCTGGGCACATGCAAAGGGACTCTTTTTGTCTCATTTGAATATTTCTCTATTTGTCTGTGTGTAAATAATCTTAGCACATACCATTGCTGAACACTGTGTGTCAGGCATCATGCTAAGCATTTTACTGACAACACTTCCCTACCAAACATCTCTGTGGAGGATATGGTATGATTTCCACTCTCTACAGGTACAGACTAAGTCTCAATGGGGTCAAATACCTCACTAAAGTGACAGAGTGACTTGGAAAGTGTGGCTGGAATTCAAACCTAGTACATTTTTGGAAGTTTTAGATTCATTCTTTTTTTACTTTCTGTGTATGAGTGTTTTGCTTACATATATATGTGCACCTCATAGATGTTTGGTGCTTGCAGAGGTCAGATGAGGATGTTGGATATCTTAGAACTGGAGTTATGGATGCTTGTGGGCTCCATGTGGGTGCTGGGAACTGAACTTGGTGCCTCTGCAAGGGCAGGAAGTGCTTTGAAACACTGAGACAACTCACTAGTCCCTAAAGCCCACGTTCTTTGTTTCCTTTCTTCCTTTCTGTCTTTTCTTCCATCTTTCAGGGTCTCACTGTGTAGCCTTGGTTTCTGAATCTCACTATGTAAACCAGGCTAACCTCAAACTCATCCAGGTCCACGTGCATCTGGTTGCACGTGTTGAGATTAAAGGCATCTATCACCATGTCTGTTTTCCAAACTCCTATATTCTTAACACCTATATACACAATCCACAAGCATTCTTTTCTCCCCAAATATATCTCTATATATCATATATATTAAAATATATACATCAAATTACAAAAAGATACATTAGTGAATATACCCTGTCATAATCCATTTTTGTTATTCAAATAATATGAAATACTTGTATGAATATGCTTCTAAACATTCATTGTTAATAGTTAATGTCTCTTTCTATGGGTTTACCATGTGTTACCTAATGTTTTGCTCATAAAAAAAAAAGACACTACTATAGCACACTGAAGAAGCTAGATGGAAGACAGGATTGTAAGACTGTAGTTCAAAGGCAGAGAGCTTGCCTAGCATATGTGAGGCCTAGGGCTCAGAATGTCCAAGACTCAGAAGATGAAGGAGAAGAAAGAGGAGAGGAAGAATTGTAGAAGGAGGAAGTGGAAGAGGAGGAGGAGAAGGACCAAGAGAGGGAAAGACAAAGGCAGAGTAACCACTCAGGGACCACTTGACCAGGAATACACAAGCTTTGCCCAGTTGCACAGCTGGGAGGGAAAGAGCCTTGGATTCCAGTTCTGGTGTCCACTAGTTACAAGACACAGTGCAGTCGTGTATTCTGATACACTCCATTTTGGTCATCTGCATGCGCCTTGACATCCAGCTGGTAGCTAGTTACTTAAATGCAAGAGCACTTCCACATATGTGCTGAAACTCCTGAGTTCTGTCACCTCTTATAAAATCTCCCTGCTAGGAATTTCCAACATCGTCAAGTTCGGCAATATAAGGGCTAATACTAGCTGGGCATGGTGGTGCATGCCTCTAATCCCAGCACTCTGGAGGCAGAAGCAGGCTGATCTCTGTGAGTTTCACATAGCCTGGTCTACAGAGCAAGTTCTAGGACAGCCAAGGCTGCCCAGAGAGACCCTATCTCCAACTCTTCCTCAAAAACGGGGGTTGATGCCAAGCTTCAGGGCCCTTCTCCATCTGGTTATATATTTTCAGTCAAGTAACTAAGGATGATATCATCTTCTGAGGATGGAAGAAAGATACAGAAAAGTGGGGTTTGCAAAAGCTGTTGATAATATGCAAGTGTGGGCGTCATTGCTGCTGTTATTAAAAACTATTTTTCAATAGTGTATGCACACTCATGCTGTACAGCCAAACACCCCAGCATGAAATATTTTTCCAGGTTCTAGAATTGTATAAACCCAGCCTGCCAGAGTTAAACACTCTCATATTTAGGTATTCAGTTGGAATCTAACATGAACAAGATGTCAACATTCAGACTCCAGTAAACAGCCATGGGGTTTTTCAATGATTACTTAAGCCACAGGCTTCCTGTCTGGCCTTCTTTTCTCCTTCTTCAGGGGATCCGATTCCATTTCCTTTTGTTTTATGCACACTGGATTCCCATTTCACACTCTGGACTATCAGTTTCTGACATCGGGAGATAAGGGTGGTGGTACTTTTGGAAGGCTCTGTTTCTACTTCCTATAATAGCCAAAAAGGTTCAGTTACCAGGAAGTTTCCTCATATCCAGGACTCTTTTTCTTTCAGTTTCTTCTTTTGAAGACTAAACTCTCACTGTGCTCAAGGAATGGATGACCATCTGCTTCAACCCCTGTCCCCAAACCTGTCAACATCTAAGACAGCAAATACTTTTACTCCAAAGATGAAGGACCCCAACCATTCTGAACGTGTATTTAATTTCAGTCCTCTTGCTAGCCAGAGCAAAGCTCTCTGGGTGCAACTATAGTTTACAAGGTCTGGTTACATCTTCCTGTGAGGAAGATCCACTCTTGTAGGATAGAGGGCCAGCTGGAGCCAAGAATCTTTTAGCCTTTTGCACACAGTCTAGAATGGCAGCTTTTTTAGGAAAGTATCTGGACACATTCGGGTTTCTGTAGCCACATGCCTATAAACGGTTATCCAGACACTAATGAATACAGAGAAGCATTGTTAGATACTAGAAATTTAATGGGCCTAGGAGTCAGGGAAACCAAATTCAAATTTTATTCAAATGTTATTTGACAACTATGTTAGATGGACAGGTTATTTTCATCTGTAAATCCTGTAACCATCTGTTTTCCCAATTTGAAATTTCCTTTCTCATTGAAATATTATGAGACCATTTAATACATATAAATCTGTTAAGTAAATGTCACCTCCTTCCTTTCCCTGTCCACAATTTCATGAACCCTACACATTTCAGTGAGTTTTAATTCCTTAATGTGTTTTTATTACCTATCACCACCTTTTTTACCCAAGACATAAAATAAAAGATAGACTCAACATTTCCTTAAGAATTTGTTCATCACTACAACAATAGGTACCATTTGCTAAACATATATCAGGTGCCAGGCACTTGCAGGAATTATCTATTTTAATCATGTTAATGGCCCTTCTAAGGAAGGCACTTTAGCTATTCTCAGGCCAAGATGATGTCGTTGGGGCTCAAGAAAGTGAGTTTGCCCAAATTCACACAGACATCAGAGCCCATGTTTTGCTTTTATCATTACAATACACATAACAGACAGCTTACTCGTCTAACCATTTATTGGCATAGAGTTCCCTGAAATTTACATTGCTGTCCAACATTTATCTTCAGAACTGTATCTTCCCAAACTGAAATGCTAAATCCATAAAGAGTGACATCTTCTTCTCTACCCCCAGCCTGACAACAACCATCCACTTTCTGTCTCCATTGATTTGTACCATCAGTCCGTCATGTCGCTGCAATGGTACCCGTCTCCCTGGTTATGCATGGCTTATTTCATTTAGCCTAATGTGTTCAAGCTTCATCCATGTTGAAGCATATCAAAATTTTCTAAGGTGTTGTGATAGTCCATTATGTATACATACCACTTCTTGTGTAGCCATTCACCAACTGATGAATATTTAAGTTGTTTCCACCTCTAATTGATGGTGAATTTCTGCAAACAGTGATGTACAAATACCTGTTTGGGTTCCAAATGCTTAAGTGAATCACTGCACTTAACTGCAACCCATCACGCCGTCATAGGCAGCATTTAAGTGGGGTGAATTTATAGCTCCATCCACTTTTGGGAAGTCACGAAGCTCCAGATTTTGTTTCCTTGCTTTTCATGAATACCATCCTGAACTGTTTCAGTAGGTGGGCTGCCCAGATCCATCATGGTCCCTACCACACTTAGAGCTTGATGACAGTGGGATGTGGTCATTGGTGGAAACACAGAGAAAGCAAGAATTAACGAGCCCCAACAGGAATTCAACTTTCAACATGACCTCTGGAATATTTTTGTTTTAATCTAATTTTGTAAATCTATGTCAAATCATTCGTACATGTGCCAAAGTCGGCATCTGAATTAGCTTAAATTATCTATCATGGCTTTTATGAACTATGCCTTTTAAAAATCTCAGCTTCCAAATAAGAAACAGTTGCAAAGGACTATTATAAGCAGAAAACATAGCTCAGTGCCTAGGACACAAATAAATAGCAATATCAAGAACATCATCACCACCATCATTATTATGTAATGATCTTGTTTGTTGAAAAGGAACATGATATAGAGATTAAAGTATGGAAAATCAGGGGATCAAGATCCCTATTCTGACTCAACACCTTAGGTCCTTACAGTGATGTGTGGCCTTTAATCAACTTGGCACATAATTTTCCTCCTTCACAAAATAGAAATGACCATACCTCGCCTTTTTCCTTGAGAATGAGGTAAAGATAAGACTATGACGGACATAGAAAAAGACAATCCATGGCAGCACTTTATAACACATAAAACGTTCTACTAACATGAGGGATTTTCATTCTCAACCCCTTCATACAAAAATGAAACCTGCTATTGGTTTTGATAACTGGATATTATAATTATCTTTTTGCCAATATCAACAAGTCCAAAACATTTGTCTGCAATACCTATTTTCTTAGGAAATGAACAATAAAAATGATTAAAAACAATTATTTGAAAAAAAAAACCCTCCCAAGATGAAGACAAATCATGTTATAGTTATCATTAGTAACTTAGATACATTACACATAGGTGATCTTTAAGAGAAACAACATTCATACTTCCATTACCATAAGCACAAACCCATCTCCTAAGAGTCTGGAAACTACTGAGTATTTTCCATGTTGTCTTAGCTTAAAATAGAGTCCCTCGGGGGCTTCTGATTATCCCTTGTTCCAGAGAAGCTAAGGAAACCTGCAGGAAGAGTTTGCGTCATTGAACTATTAGTTCAAACTTCTTCTCCAAGAAACATTTCCTCTGTTTGATTTGCTTTTCACCATTTCTTCCCAGGATTCCAGCTACCTAGTGTTCGTATTAATGAGCACTGGGAAGGCAAAACTAAATAAATAGACCGACAATTTTAAAAAGCAGGCAGTAGGAAGGTGATAAGGAGGGAAAAAAAAACAAGACATGGATAAAATACAGCAGAGTAATTGGCTGGAGCAAAATGGGTACCTTCAAATATTCAATTCTTTCAGGAAACGGAATGACCTACTGCTGCATAATTCTCCAAAACGACAGGCTGGCAACTCGAAAACCGCTGCACCTCTATTTAATTTACACACGAAGGAAACTCAGCCAAAGACCCAATTACAGTGTATTACCCTGGATGGAATCTGAACGCTGCCTATGCTCGTCACACTTTCCAGTGAGTAGTCAACCTGCGTGTTATTTTTGTCCAAGAAATATTTTTCTAATAACGGCTCCCCATTTGATGCACCTACAGCTCTGGCCAGTAGCTGAACTTGAGGGAGATGCTTATCTTGAAGCACCTTGGTATTTTGCTAGACATATTTCAAGGAGCCTACCCTAAAAGCCCATAACCTCACACAATACCAACCTTATGGTCATTCGGCTTGTAGTCATTGAACAGAGGCTGGCTGCCCGCCAGAGAGTAGGCACTGCCATCTCTAAACACGCTGATCCTTTGAGCAGTCAGCTTAGGGGAATACAGCTGAGGCTTGGGGGCTTCCCCTGACCCATAGACACCATCCATTGGTTCAAGGGCCTCCTGGAGAAAACTGTGAGGGTATTCCTCTTTGGGTGACTCTAATTCCTGCCCGTCCTCAAAAACCTGCTTCAACACTCGGCCGCTGTAGGAAGAGGAGATCTTAAATCGTACTTTTCTGGGTTTGTCGTCGCTCTTGTCGCTCTTCTGATTCAGTTTCTTTTCCGAGTCCTCCATCAGCAGGAAGTTCTCACTGCAGTTTCTAGGCTTCCAAGCAGCCAGTGGAACCAGGCTCTGAGAAAAGGGCATTTTATTTTCTCTCCTTCTGCATATGATTAATTCAAGTTGGTTCTGAAGAACGCTCAATTACAGCAACTGACACCCGCACATTAAATATTGATAGACCTCCTGAAAAGGCAGGTGATCATGGCTACGTGGAGTAGAAGGAACAGAGAACAAAATGAGTCCTCTTCCTGGTCTCAAGCGTACCCCTAACTTTACCCAAACTCTGGTTTTTCTTACTCTCGGGGAGAATACATTGATTACCATGATAAAGTACCAACCCTGTAACACTTGGTCAATTAGCCTTGTTAACCTTGTTATCGTTACCAGAAACAGCTATAGCCTAGTGAGGAGGTTCAAATACATGCCCATGGGACTCTAACACCATGTCTGGCCCCCAGCTTTTCAAACAGAGGCTCGGGATACAAAGCAGTTTCTTGGGATTTCTTCTTAGACTAGGAAAAATCAGAGGATCCAGAAGCTGAGTGACTGACTCAGTAGTTAAGAGCTCTTCTGGAGAACCTGAGTTATCTCCCAGCACCCATACAGTGACTGGCAACCATCTATAACTCCACTTCCAAGGCTTCTCACACCCTTTTATTTTTTTTTTTGGGGGGGGGCTCCACAGGCACATCTACCACACAGATATATGTGCAGGCAAAACACTCAAACATATAAGACAAAAAAATAAGTAAATAAAAGTCTTCCTTTGCAACTGCTGCACAGTCCCTACAGCCTTTTGAACTCAGCAAATTCCCATCTCTGAGATAGTGAGTGAGATGAATATCAGAGATATGAGTCCTGTGAAGCCCTACAGGCCTGCATAGAAATCAGATCTAACACATTTGAAAGGCTAACCTCGTGCTTGGGGAGTAAAGTGTCCCCTGATGAATGAATCGATGATTATTCTACAAAGGGGGTGCTTTTAAAGAGAAGAAACTACAAGGACTGAACAAGAAAGGGTTTCTGGACTGAGTCTAAGGGGTGGTTTGGATCCAAGGAGCTGGAATGATGGGATAAATTCTTTCTGTCTTTGCCAGGGACACAATGATGCATTTGCTTGCCCAAGCTGAGTTCTCATACTCCTCGGCCATTTCTAGGGATTCTTTCATTAATAACGACCCCTTTCATGCAACTCAGTTACAACATTCTCCATTCCCTTACCTCCCCTCCAAACCCTCCTATATACCCCTCCCCAAAATTCATGATCTCTCTTTTTACTAGATATATATAGATATATATATATATATATATATATATAGAGAGAGAGAGAGAGAGAGAGAGAGAGAGAGAGAGAGTTCCTAAATATAACCTGTTCAGTCCATATGCTACCCATATATGTGTTCTTAGGACTGACCATTTGGCACTGGACAACCAGATGGTACGCTCCTCCCTGGGAAAGGAAGATCACCTTTCGTGTTCCCAGCTTTCCTCGGTTGTCTGTAGTTCTGTGTAGCATTAAAACCTCATGGGTTTTTCTTCATTCAGTTTGGTGTGTCCATTGGGGTCATCCTCACTCAGGTCACACTTGGGGGTGAGACTTTATAAGTGTAGTTTCTGATACTACTAAGAGATACAATCTCACAGCAATCTCCCTGATCCTTTGGCTCTGACAATTTTCTCACCACCTCTTCCATGTTTTCTGAGCTTTAGGCGCAGGGGTGTTTTGTATATGAATCCATTAGGACTGGGCTCCAAATCTGCATTCTGATTGGCTGTGGCTTTCCATAGTGGTCTCTGTGTCCTGCAAAGAGAAGTTATCTTGATGAGGGTTGAAGACTGTTCTATCTGTGGGTCAACGACAAATGTTTCTAGATCGTTGTTAGGGATGATCATTGTTAGGAAATTAGTAGGTTTAAATTCTCCTCCAACAACCAGTACTTCACTAGCTAAATAGTTAGCTAGGTTCTCATTATGAGCATGGTTTCCCTCTCTTTAAGTCGGTCTTGAGTCCAATCAGAGAGCTGTTGGTTACCTCCAAGGTAGGCATGCCACTACTGCACGCTTAGAGTTATTGTGCCATGCTGATTGTTGATGTGGTTTATAGGCATCATAGCTGGGTAGGACTGTATAGGTTGTTTCCCTCCTTCCGAAGCTTGCATGGAACCTTCTGGCATCATGCAAGCTAGTCCTCAGGGAGGGAGCTTTCAAATCAATTCCAGCTCAGGGGTTCCAGGGTCCTGCTTCTAAAATGCATGATGCCTTCAGCGATAGAGACTTTCCTTCTGATTATAGGGGTAGGTAACCAAGGACAGCAGCAATTGGTTGTATATTTGGGGAGTCTCTTGGGTAGTCCTTGCCAACAACTCAGAAGTGTGTTTCTTATGTCTGGTGTTGGGGTTTCTGTGAGGTGGTCATCTTGCCGTTCTTTCCCGGGTGTCTCAAAGTTGCAGCTGCCTTCTAGCGACTTTCCACCCAGCGTCCCCCCCATTGCCTACATTGGTACCACTGATATGGAAGTAGTGTCCCGCCCTCTCCACTGCGGTCTGCAGATGCCAGTTGCTGGTTAGAGATCATTCCAGAGATCCATTTCAAAACAAGTTCTAATGCCTGTGTGTGACAGAAAGCCTCAAAATCTAGCCATGGCTCCCTTTCGTCACATCCTCAGTCTCTGCTGTGCGTCCTGGTACTGTCTGATCCTGGTGATAAAGGTGCGCACGCACACAAAATCTCACCCATTTCCTAAAACCTCAAGTTTCTGTCTCTGATCCAGTACTGTTTCTGGATTGGTGGGTATGAATTCTAATTCTCCTTCGTGATACATACTGCTTTTGGAAGCCTCCCCACTGCCCGGAGAAGCCGGCCAGGAAATGTGGATCCATCTCTGATGAAGTTCTTCCCACTTTCCCTTGCCATTCTTCTGTTTACTTCCACACAGCTGTGAGCATGTGAGAGTCCTAAGCTCTCTACGCCAGCCTTCTATCCCAGTGTTTACTAAGGGGCCTGGTCCATGCTAGAGTGTGGTTAATAATTGTTGAATTATTGAAAGACTTCTGATAAGGGAAGCCAAAGGAAGAAAACTTTCTTAATGGAGCCTGATGTATTTTTATAGGGAATAACTACTATGTAAGACTTGTAATAGTTACCATGTAAGGTTGTTAAGAAAAGCTTGCACCTTATACAAGGAAGTATTAGAGTCCTGTGTGCATTAATTTCTTTTTAGTTGGTTAATTGCAGTTAATTAATTGCATGGGGCCAGGTGGTGATGGCACACGCCTTTAATCCCAGCACTCGGGAGGCAGAGGTAGGTGGATCTCTGTGAGTTCAAGGCCAGCCTAGTCTACAAGGCTAGTTCAGGACAGGCTCCAAAAGCTACAGAGAAAGCCTGTCTCAGAAAAAAAAAAATTAATTGCACAGAGCAAAGTTCTTACAGAAGCAACTTGAGAGTGGAAAGGTTCCTTTGGGGTTCAAGATTTCAGTCCATCCTGACACAGAAGCCATGTTGGAATGGCTCAGTCCAGAGCAGCAAGGCTGTGGTGTGTGGCAGAAGCTGTTCATATGGCAATGGACAGGAAGCAGACAGTTGCCAGAACCAGAGACTTTCCACTAGTGATCTACTTCCGCCTACCATGCCTCATCTCCTAAAGATTCCACCAGCCGTCCAGAACAGCACCATCATCCAGGGGACAAGTGTAATCGGTGCAAGAACTATGTGGGAGAACAAAACAGAGAGAGAGAGAGAGAGAGAGAGAGAGAGAGAGAGAGAGAGAGAGAGAGAGACTGCCTGATGGGGCCCAAGTCTACAGAAGTCTTATTGAATTATCCAGCACATAGAAAAATATTATTATTCTTCATGTTCTGAAGAAGATTGGAGAGCCCTTACTAGAGGACCTCTTCCTTCTATCTGTATTAGTAAATGGTCAATGGCCCATCTTCAGCAAGCCGACCCAGCGGGCTGACATCCATAGCTACCTGTCACAAGCAAGTATGTCCAAATCCCCCAGTGACCAGCGTTAGCAAAGGCGAACTTTCAGAAACATGGACTTCAGCCAGACCAAGACTCAGAAATGAGTTTTCTGAATCATGTCTGTCTGTGACTTTTTTCACGCCCTTCCTAGGCTCACCGACTTTCCTTGAGTCACAGCGACGGTGTGGAGAGTTTGGAGAGGAGCAATGTCACTTGACAACTTTCAGATGTTTGTGTTTTCAGAGTGATCGCAACTCACACACTCCCAGAAGAATAAGCTGACAACTGAAAAGCAATCTTGGCAGTATTATCGAAGACCTTAAAAATGTCCATACCCTTGAGTCTTACTAAGAAAGAAAACAGTTGCCTTTATCAGAAGAGATCATGTCAAACCCTAGTATCAGTTGCCTCTGGGCAGAGGATGTGGAAGACTTTTCTCTCTCCCCATTTTATTATATTTTACATGCCAATGATAAACTCACCTTACTGTAATAATCAGGCAGAAAATAAATCCTAAAAATCCATTCCTTTCAGCCCAATAATTCGCCTGAGGAAATAATTTTCTAAGGAGAGAAATATTTATCTAGATAAAGATATTCTCCAAAACATTACTTATACCCAGAAAAAAAAACCCTCAAAATTCCAACAGTAAGAATTTAACAATGCAAAAAAATGCGTCATTTTTCAAGAGATTTACAAAAATTCTGAAATAACATGGGAAATATTTTTGTTACGAATTTAGTAGGAAAAAATAGATAAATTTTATGGTTAGTAGTTTAGAATTTGCTATAGAAAGCTTTAGGAAAGAGAAGCGTGGGTACATAAAACAGTAGTTCTACCTAAAAGGGGGTCAGCAGTGACATTTTATCTCTTGTCTCTCTTTGTCCTTTTTGTCACTTTCCTATGTTTTTCCAATTTTTTTTGTGGTAAATAAGTACAAGTTTAATATTATAAGTACTTTGCATTTTAAATATATAGATGAATAAATGCACTTGGCCAAAGAAAACCAAACCCTCAGCAGTAAACATCTTCTGCTTGAATTCAAACT